CTGTACAAGCTCCAGAGACAGCCCCTGCAATGGCTGTGCTGAGGGCCACAGGGCTGCTGGAAAGCTGCTGCTGGAGGAAGAATTAGAAAACCAGGGTATGGGGCTGTATTTTCCATGCTGAAATGCAAGTGTGTAAAGGAAGCTGTAGAGCAGCAGCAGGCCCAAGCCCAGTAGGATTATTAGTGGGGAGGGCGAGCCAGACACCAGCCCTGGGTGCCATCTTAAAGGGGGCTCCAGTATGGCCCCTTCCACCCTGGAGTCTTTTCCACAGCAGGGGCAGCCCAGCCATAGGAGCCAAGTATGCACATCCCCATGCCTCACAGTGTACTGTGGGGGTGGGCAGAGGGGAGCAGGGCCGGTGGAATGGCACCCCACTCCCTCAGAGGCTTTGTCCTAGAAGTGCAATCCTGGACCCAAAAATGTATCTGGGGGCAGGGGAATGAACAGGACACCAGGATCAGCCCTGGGGAGTTCATCACCTGTAGCTGCCTAAGCCTACACTTATAGCCGGAGTCATAGCTGTAGCAGCTAAAAAGCAGAAGTCACAGCATGAACTTAAAGGGCCATGGTACTCTTTCTAGCTCCATAACAACATTGTATCCCCAATGGGTTTGTCTGTACCACCTCTGCAGCTTGCCTGGGTATGCTGGTATGAAGATAGCTGCACCCACTTGCCCCTGCTCAGAGCATGCTAACTCTCCAAAATGAAGCAATGCAGCCAGCTTAAAGCTTTTATGCTTGCCTTAAAGCACATGCCTGGCTGCCACTTCCAGGCTCCTCCTCTCTGGGGTTCAATGTGTGTGTGTAATGGAAATGTCTGGGTGGGGTTTGCTCCCCAGGAAAGGCAGCCAGGTTGCATAGACAAGTCCTATGGTCCAAGCACAAGAGAGGAGCTTATAGTACAAACTCCCCAGTGGATTAGTTAAACCCTTGCTCTTGAGAGAAGAAACCTGTGCAACCATCCTTCCACCTGTGAAGGGCTTTGAAGCCACACAGTGAAGCTTATGCCTTGGCCAGCAGGGTTACTACTAAGCGATGGGAAACATACCCATATCCCTGATAGGAGCTGGGCCTGCTACCTGTTTGATATCCTTGGAATTCCCCTCAGCCAGGGGAGCAACAGACTGGAAATGAGAGTGCCACCAAATACCACTCATGCAGCCTTAGCACAGCCTAGTGGGGCCTCCTGCCCTTCCAGTGTGGGGTGAGGGCTAGACTTCGGAGAAAGCAGGGAGTTCAGGTGCATGCTAACCCCTTCCAGTTAGTGCTTTGGAACCAGGTCTCAGAGGCCTGGTAGTTGCAAAGCCCTGTGAAGGTTAAAGCATCTGTAACATGAGCAAAGTGTCCTTCTATTGAGTTAGCTGCTCAATACTGGTGATAGCAACTAAAGCCGTTCCTTTAACTTCAGAAGCAGTGGTCTGCACATCAAGAGTTCAAATCCCACCCTTCCTTGGAGAAATGTTAAATATATGCTAAGACCCAGATTCTGTTCCGTCTAGGGATATTTTGCAACTCTCTTTTACCCTGCCCGGGTCTCTGAAAAACGGTTCATGCAAAAGGTGGGTGGGTCTTTCTCCTCCTTGCTGCTTTTTGTAATTCAGTCTTAAGGGTCAGATGATGATGTGTTAGAAAAGTAAATGCATCAATGGATTTTTTTGGGACTCGAGCAGGATGTAAAAGAATTGCACTTAGGTGTCTAATAGGACTAGACTCTGGCCCTAAGTATCACTGATGTAATAAAATAGTGGCCACAGGCTGTGGTGAGCTTGCACGTGTCCCACTGCAAATGGCTTCTGAGAGGCTTAACAAAGCAATTGAGACATTCATTTTCAAGGGCATTTTTTAATATTTTTACATTCTTAATATTGTGAACAATAAATAACACGTGACTAGTCTCTATCTGCCACGCAGTCTGTGTACCAGTCTCTCCCCACAGCAGCACCTGTCTTCCATTAAAATAAACCGTGTATTGAGGACAGATTTTGCTCTGCAGTGATTAGCTGTTGATAGCTGATACACAGGGCAACAATGCTTCATGAAGGAGACCTTGGGCATTTCTGTGGTGTGAGTGACTGGTGGCTGCACTTTAGTGGAAGGCTGGGAGTGAGGAGGTGGGTGGTGAAGGATTTCCCATATTCAAGCAATATATCCACTTGGGTATATTTGGGGCTTTAAAGGGCAGTATAGCCTAGTGGTCTGAGTGTGAGGCTGGAAACCAGAAGTTCCTGAGTGCTGATCCCAGCTCTGGGCCTGGTTTAGTGTTTGGATGGGGTGCTTGAGCTCTGGGTGTGTAATCCTGCTCCCATTTAAGTCAGTGGAAGAAAATCATAGGTTCAGTTGCCCCTTCTGGGGATCTATAAAAGTCAAGAGCCATCTCTTTCTTCTGGTATCTCCCATATGCCAAAGGTCAGCTACACTCCAGCTGGGACAATATAATTCTGAGTGTCTTGATATTAGTGCAAAGGGAAAAGGGGGCTATGGTTAGCTTGGGGAGGGAAAGGCATTTTGGGAACATGGAATCTTTCCCTTTTGAAAACTGTTATTTGTTGTGTCTCCCCTTGCATTAGCTGGGCAGAAGACCAAGTGGTGAGTATGTCAATGACTTTACAGCATGCAAACATTTTGCTGGTGCACAGAAGCAAAACAATGAGTGATGGAGGCACAACCCACCTCTCTTGCTTCCTGCTATAAAGACCGAGGTTTCTGTGCCCCTAGTATAAGGACTGAGGCTTATGTTGTGTCTTCATAGCAAGAAAGTGCATTGCCTGCTACTAGACTGAGAAAGTCTCAGGGATCCTGGGGTACAGTTGGAAATGCAAGCCCTTACCACTGAGATATGTATTATTTGCTGCCTTATTCCCCAGTGTGCTCCACAGGGCTGCAGCACTATGCTGCTGAAGAAACTGTCCTTTGCATTTGGGGTGTTATCCATTTACTGACACTTCTGTATTTAAGTCACCTTTCCAAGAAGCAAAGTCTGCTAACTGTGTAGATAATTAGTGTCTTGGGACACTTTAAAAATAAGCAGGTCATGGCATCAGCCTGCATTCCCTGACCAGAGTCCTTCCCCACGTCTGCTTGTCAGGTGGGGCTGTGTATAAACAAACCTTTTAGATCAAGTGGGTGCTCTCTCCCCATGTACTCAGTCACCAGATCCTCAGTGCTATGTGATATCTCCAGCTGGAAAAACTGTGCCTCCTCAGAGGTCCACAGAATACATGGGAGTTTCAGGTCTCATCTGAAGACCTTCCTTTTTCACTCTGTTGAAGCAAAACTCTCCATGTTCTAGTCTTGTTCCACAGAGAACAAAAGCACCTTTTTGAAAGCAAGGCTCACACTATTCTGTGGCTGCTGCCCCTCCTTTTGGGGTTGCTGTACTTCTGCCAGCTTCCCCCATCTTCTGTTCTTCCAAGTCTAAAGAACCAACCATCCATTGAATTCAGTAATGGGTCTCTGGACTAGATTACGGATGCCCCTGTCTCTTTCATGGAGGGGACTAGACTGGGTAGCTGTCAAGATGGGAGAGGCAGAGAAAGGGACATCAGCTGTTCAGTTCTTTAATGAATACAGCTTGTGTGTTTGGAAGAACATAAATCAGGATTCAATAGTTTTATTGATAGCTTTGCAGAAGGCCAGGGGAGTCCTAGAAATTCCATTTTTCTGTCAAAAGGAGGGGAGGGGAGAGGGTGAACAGCTATTCTCCTGAACCAGGAGATGCACAGGGAGGAAGGGGAGAAGATGGAGTTTCAGAGTGCTTGAGTCTAATGCTTAATCAATAGTGAAGATCACAGAATGGCCTGTGGGGTAGCCAATTCCAACCCTGTTGACCCAGAACTTCTCATGGAGGCCTCTTCTGCCTAAGGGACTGACAGGAAGTCAGAAGGCATCCTGGAGTGCCAGCTTGGGACCAGCAGGCCATGTGGACTCTCTAGCAGGGTTGGAGAGCTGAAGTGTCTCTCAAATCATTATTTGCAAAAGAGCTGCCTCCCTGATAACAGGTTCTGAGGTAGCTCTCACTGCCCCCTCATCATCCTCACTGATTATGTCACTGATTTTGCCTTCCTGTGCTATCAGGTTTCATGGACTGCATAGAGAGGATTTATTTTAAGACAAACAAAGAGGAGATCATAGGACTGGCTATGGGGACAAGGATTGGATATGGAGCCTTCACTCTGAACACTGAACTACAGGGAAGGGAACATTATATAAATGCAAAGCAAAGGAAAAGGAGGTGGAAAAGGATCTGGGAGTCATTATTGACTCCA